GTAGCTGTTTTCTTCCCAACGGAAATGGCGTTCAAAGAATATCGAAAGACAGTTGCAGTTCCTCCCAAAGGGGGTGCTTAGAGAACAAGGCGTATTCTGAGGCAGCAAATCTAGTGGAAAATCTCGTAAACATCCAGCACTGCAAAATCAGCTTCAGAGGCAAAAAATCTCTGAGCCCAATTTTGAAATGCATTTGCTATTCGACTGAAGCAAGGCGGACTGTCTTTATAAAAATCTAATGAGGAGCCCAGAAACCAGAATTTTCTGCAACTGGTCGCAGCGTCTAGTCACTGCAGCACAAAAATAACCCCGAAGGTATTCCGTTCGTTACAGTGCCCGCCGTCATTCGCATCCATGAGTTATGTCGCAGAAACGCATAAACAATAAACTAAATGGAAAATTTTAAAAAAAATTAAAAAAAAAGAAACATTATGTTCGGCAAGACGACTTGAAGCTTGAAAAACTTCTTCTGGACATATGTCAAAACGAATGCACCACTGAGTAAAACTAACACATCAGACTGTGTTGTAAATTCGTAGTGCTTGATTGCTTCCGGGCTCATCCATTTAACAGGCAGCCGTCCACCTCGTCCCTTGTAGTTTGAGCTGTCACGGTAGATGTACCGACATAGGCCAAAATCACCAATTTTTGCATTCTTTTTTTCGTGAACTAAAATATTACGCGCTGCCACATCACGATGCACAAAGCCTTTCTGACTGAGATATTCCTAAAAGCGAACAGAAATCAGCAGTCGAAGGACATCGGGGTGGTACAGGCTTCTGCAGTAAATCGTTATAGACAAAAAATAGATGATATAAATTTTGATACAGTGAAGGTGCCTATGCTTTCCCTCTCCTTCACCCCAAAATGTAAAGTTTACACCTTGCTGCAAACCGAAACTATCAATCTTGTCGTTACAAATAAGACAATAAAAAAAAACTTGATGCCGATTTCAAACAAATTATCCTACCCAATGACAGTATGAGTCCAAAGTCAAAATACTGGAAAATCAACAGTTTTGTACATTTTACAACCACGATAAACTAAAACTAGAAAAAACAAGTTTATAGCTTTCCTTGACTTTGCGCTAAAGTAATAGCTTGAAGTGAAGCCTAAAATTGAAGATGACATAGTTTAAAACCTGATTTTAAGCATATATTCTGCACTCTGTGATGAATACTTAAGTTCAAGGACGCGGAAAGTTTCGGGAGCTGAACGAAATTTTGTGGCCTTATAAAAAAACTAGAGGCTACCTTCTCAACGCCCCAGCTTTCCCTAACTCGCATTTCGAGGACTGCACCAACTTATTTCCATTTCTACTATATTCTAACCTACGAGCTTATTTTACAAAAAATTTTGGTGTTGTAAGCTAGATTGCGCTCGAATTTTGCTGCATTTCGTGCACTGATTTGAACAAAACATCATCGTTTCAAAACAATCGTCTTTTCTGTGTACTGGTCTCATGCCTTCAATGTGCTTCAATGATAATCTCGCACTGAAACGCATGATCTCCGTAGTTTTAACGTGCCCGCTGCTAATCTACGGCTGTGCACAAAAAAGCATCGAAATGAAAAAACTTACTAAGCCGTAACTGATCTGCACTGCGAACATCAGTAACTGTTTTATAGTAATTATCATATCCGAATTGATTTTTACATCCAAATTCAACGCATTGTAGTCGACGCCTGCTTCTGTGAGCTAAAATTTGCAAGAAAGAGCTTTGAGATAGATGAATAGCAC